AATTAACTAGGGAATCACGGAAATATATTCACCCTTCAAGGTTTCGAATTCAGCTTTCATGCGCTGGTGCGTGATATTTTTAATTGTTTTCCAATTTTTGAACTATTTTGCATAGACTAAAGTACAAAGCAGTGAAAATCATTAATAGGCAATCGTTCGATGGGCTGAATTGCATAAAAGCATGATCGCACCGGCTAGTCTGGTGCGCGCTGCTATTTATTTTAGCTTGTAAAATTAAACTGTACTGCGCGATTTGGTTGTAAAGTGCCTCACCAAATTCGCGGTTGCGAAATTTCGCAGGTGGTTTCCTTTGCACTTGAAATTGCTCTGAGGGTATTACTCACTTCGTTATTTGAAATGCTTGAGTCGTATATAGTGTGTAGCCTGATTCTGCAGCTCTGCCATATTGGCTTGTCTGTTAATCAGCTTGCTAGCTATCCTGGCTTTCTTTTGGTGCTACCAGTACAACAGACTCGTTTTGGCGCTACCTGTTCAATACTTGACGGAAATACTTGGCAAAATTGTGCACTGCGCACTTGTTAGTCCTTAGGTCAGCCGGATGGTTACCTGATCGCAGCCAGATTTTTTTTTTTTAAATTGCTTGCTCATCCATCATTTATGGCTAAAGTTTTTTTTTGGATAGAAAAACCAAATGATTATGTTTGCTGAAAATAAATGGAAGGACCTTATGATAGGCTAACTTTGCAGGTCAAGTGAACAGTGTAGCGTTCAATGAAGAATCGACGGTAGCAGTGTCCGGATGTCAGGATGGTATCGTACGGTGCTTTGACATTCGCGATAGAAGCGGTTCTCTACAGGTAATTTTTTTTTTGCTGAATTTGGTTTTGCACTTATGGATTTTAAAAACGACGATATTTCATTCCTTTTTTTTTCATTTCAAGCAGATGGATGAATCCACAGATGCTGTTTTGACGGTGGATGTCAGTTCGCACGAAATTGCTTCTGGTTCGGCAGACGGCAGTGCTCGAATCTACAACATTCGTGACGGAAAAATGACCGACGGTGAATTTTTTTTTCTTCAGTAGATCCCCAATGAACATTTGGTCAAGTGAATCATTACTCTATTTTTTTCGGAACAAACTGGTTTTATTTTCTTTTTTTTTTTTTCTTATCTGAACAGTACTTTATTCGATCTCCACAGTATTTTATTTTGATTAATTCAGTTCGAATTGTCGGCTCTTCTAACGGACACTTAATTACCTTAAGGTAATTACCGCAATTACTTTATGATGTCTTAGTGCTCTTTTTTTATGCGTTTTTTGCAGCTATGCAATGCAAAAAACGCATATTGACGAGAGGTTGTCTGTG